AGTTAACATCTCTAAGCATTAAGAATTCGGATTAATCTACATAATTGAAATGACTAGGAATAATAAGAGAAAAACTGCACAAACAAAATATGATGTATTTTTGGTAAGAACAGGTACAAGGTAGGGAGATGTATTTTTCTTAGGGGGGAAGGTGATTTTGAATAACTGGTTACTTCAGAATGAGAAAGTAGAGAATAAAGGACAAACTAAGTATTTCAATAGACAGAGAAAGTAGGGGGTGGGGGTGGAGAGCGAGATGTGGTCAAGCTGGCTAAAATTAAATAAATTTAGCATAAGTGTTTTTAAAATACGTTTTAAAATCAAGAGAATCCCAATGCAAAATTAAAATTTCATATTCTCTCATCTATTAAAAGAGCATAGTTTTCTTAGACTCTTGGTTAACAGATAAAAGATTTTTCTTTCTCTTTTAAGTAATCTGCCTAGAAAGCAAAGATTTTGTCTTACCAGAATAATTTCCTGTGCTTCACATTGTCTTTGTCAGGCCTTTGATCACTTAAGAAGACTAAACCTTCTCAATTGAAAAAGGTAAGGGATTTTTAATTTTTTAATTTTTTTTATTTTATTTTAAGATTTTATTTATTTATTTTTAGAGAGAGGGAAAGGGAGGGAGAGAAACATCAATGTGTGGTTGCCTCTCACATGGCCCCCATTGGGGACCTGGCCTGCAACCCAGGCATGTGCCCTGACTGGGAATCGAACCTGTGATGCTTTGGTTCACAGCCCGAGCTCAAGCCACTGAGCTACGCCAGCCAGGGCTCGGTAAGGGATTTTTAAAAAAATGATGTAACTTTCTATGTTTGCCTTTGAAATCTTTTGTCACTGGTTATCTGTCACTCTGGTTAAATGGACAACTAGGTTTTGTTTCATTGACCTGTGATCCTATTTAATCAAGTATTTTAAACCTATGGTTATTTTTGGCAAACTTCCTCAAATCAAATTCTGAAGTCTTTTTGACCTTGAAATAACTTCCAGAAGGCCCCTGGAATATCTCAAGAGATTTGATCTCTCTTTATAGAAGATGGATTTCAAACTACTTAGGCTTATTTGACATTAAATTACATGGGAAGCATTATCAAATAAGAAGTGATGTTTAACTTTCTTGGGTTATGTTTGTATGGGTTCATGCTACTAATGTTAAGTGTTCCAGAAATTATACGAGATTTCTAGAAATCTGATCAGTCCTGGTATAATATTATCACTCATAATTATATTATCTTAAAATCTATGTTTTGCCACAAGAATAGCCAAATTTGTTTGTCAAATGCATTATAATGAACTTATCAACCTTTAACCATGCCTATTTTAAAAGTCTTTTTGTCATTAGACAGTTATTGTTTTACACTGATGCTCTGCAAAAGTGCTTAGTTTTCAAAGAGATTCAAGGAAAGGACTCTTACCATTATTGGTTTCTGATGAATTCTAAGAGCATACCACTGAACTGGGTAAGAATTTTTAGAACTCGAATGGAAAACTGGATTTGTAAACTGCCAAAATCATGCAGAACGAGAATTAATTACGTGGGACTAAATGAACTGATGAGAATGATCACAGTTTTATAGACTTTTTCTTTGAAACATTGCTGGTTGTTTAATGTTCTGTTTTTCCAGATTTAAGGAAAAGTTTTTCTTTTCTCTCTTAAGCTATCTATACTTTACACAAATTTAGTAAGGTACTTTTTGTAAACAGAATTGAAACATTTATCTTTTTCCCCTACCTGATCATTCCAGAATTTGGAAACTCTTATTGAGTATTCTTATTTTCATGGTAATATAGTTATTTGCAGAATCTGTCCTCTTTATAACAGGACACAGTTGGAAACACTGGTTACATTACCAAAGCTTTGACTGGAATGTCATATTTGAGGCAAATGTGCATAGAGTTAGACAGCTCTAAGGAACTAAGGTTGACTTTATGAAGCCAATAAAGTCCCCTTTGAAAAACCACCTGTTATCTTGCTTATAGGATCACTTCCTGACAAGCCCAGGAACCTCAAGATATTTTGGGGATCCGGAGAGGAGAAGAATCCACCCAAATTCATAGGTATTACAGGCCAAGATGGTGAGTTCTTGGCTTGGCTTCCTAGTCTTAAGTGGCTTTTCAAAGTCCAATCTGAGATTCCTCATGAAAAATAAACTAAAAAAATCTATGTGGCCAAATCACTATTCTTGGTGTACTTAGGTAGATAATCAGGCCACGTTTAATGAGACTAAACTTATTTTGCAAAGAAATTAGTCTTACTGCGATTATCTTTAATAGAAATGTAGTGACTGCAGAGAGAAAAATTATGTTTCAGTAGTATACCTTTGTGGATATCAGATCCTACTGCCATTCACTGTCTTTGAGGTTTTGTTATCTACCTGCAAACTGGCCTGGATCCTAAATTCTTCTAGTTTTCTCCAATACCTGGTCATGACTCTCCAAACTAATGCTTGCAATTTTTTGCAATGAGTGGGAATGCTCCCACTCTTTTTACTTGGAATCACTAACAACAAAGACTGCTTTTCCTGAAGCTCTGTGAACTGAAACTAAACAATGTGATATAAACTTCAGAGAAATCACAAAAGCTCAAAATGGACAACCAGCTGGACTGTTGCTGTGTGGGCTACTCGGATAGTTCACTGGAATACCTGATGATATCACCAGAGACATTCAAACTGTAAACCAGGAAAATCTGTCAGAATGTCACTGCCTGTCCTCACTCCATCTGAAGATGTTCAACATCCAGAAATCTTCTAGACAAACTGCCCTCTGGATTAAAAAACTGAGTTTACAGTTTGGTCTATTATCCTTTGTTTTTCTTTTGTTTCCACAGAAATGAGTCTTATGAAATACACAATTCCTCACAGCATTCAGAGACTACTTGCAATACTGCATCCTGAATTGAGACACAACTGGGTAACTGGACTGACCTATTCTCAGGACTAAGAAACTTGGTGAGATGGAGCAATCTACCAACTCAGCTTCTGGAATGTAAAACGTCTTGGTGAAGCTTCAAAGGCAGGGAGTAAAGAGTAGAAAAATATGCCACCCCCAAGTCTGGCTCTGGCTCTTAACCTTTCATCAGGATTATGCTGAGAAACAGCAGCTGTAAGAGATGCTCTGAAGATAGTTAACCTTCTGTGAAGGAAATTTACATTTATGAAAATCTCCATTTCTAAGGGTATCTCCCTTCCTGTACCAGAAAGAGAAGGATAAGTCTAAATTAGAAGAACCTTATCAATGGAGAAAGCACCTACTTAAATCTGCCTAACAAACCTTACCCTTGTTTGCTGCTTTTCCTGCTAACCTCCCCACAACTTTGACCTCCCCATGCCTTTCCTTTGTCATTAGCTGCAAATGGCATTCCAATTGATGTCTTAGACAACCTTGGGGAGTTACTTACTACTCCCTGGGTATTTCCCAAGCATACATAAGGGATACATGTTAAACTTCTGGGTTTTGTTGTTGTTGTTGTTGTTTTTTTTTGCAAAGCAATGGGCAGGAAAGAAGGTGGTTCACTATTTTCCCAGTTTCTATCCCAAGGAACAGGCACCACATTTTAGAGAGTAAAAAGTTCTTAAAAAAAAATTGGTGGCCCTGGCTGGTGTAGCTCAGTGGATTGAGCTCGGGTTGCGAACCAAAGTGTCACAGGTTCGGTTCCCAGTCAGGGCACATGCCTGGGTTGCAGACCACGACCCCCAGCAACTGCACATTGATGTTTCTCTCTTTGTCCCTCCCTTCCTTCTCTAAAAATAAATAAATAAAATCTTAAAAAAATTGGTGCATTTATTTTTTCCACAGCAGCCATAGGACATGCTTTATGTTTTATTTATTTAATGGTTTGCCTCTGAACACCAGAGTGTCTGCTCCACGAAGGCAGAGAGTTTACTTAGGTAAAGGAAAAGAGCCTCTTACACACGTCCCCTGGTATGTTTCTTCCCTTCCTTCTTCTCTCTTCTTCCTACAAATATTTATAAGGCATTTACTATGTACTGGGTACTGTTCTAAGCACTGGAGATACAGTAGGAAATAAAACGTGGACCTTACCTGCTGGTGGTGAGAGACAAACCATTAAAGAAAGAAAATGCAAATGTACATTAACAACTGCATGTTATTAAGCAAAAGAAAACAATCTGTGAATGACTCTAACTATAAGGCATTCTGGAAAAGGCAAAACTATGAAAAAGATCAATGGTTTTCAAGGGTTCAGAGGGAAGGAGGGAGGGATGAACAAGAGAAACACAGAACATTTTTAAGGCAGTGAAACTATTTAGTATGATACTTTCATGATAGGTACATGTCATTATACATTTGTCAAAACCCATAGACGTACAACTTAAAGAGCAAACCCTAATGTAAAGTAAGGACTTGAGTTAACAATGATGTATTAACACTGGCTCATCCATTGTAACAAAGGTACTACACTAATGCTAGGTGTTAATAATAGGGAAAGCTAGGGTGGAACTCTGTTCTTTCCATTCATTTTTCTGTATATCTGAAACTGCTAAAAAAAAGTCTTATAGAGATCACACATACATAAAGAAGAACAGGAAGTATAATGTGTGTGTGTTGGAGGTACAGTAGATTGCTCTGGGACTCATAAGCCTGGGTGATGCGGGGGTGACCTAAGCATCCTAAGCTTATTCGGGTGGCAGAGCCATACACTGAGGTAAATGGTAAAATGAGATTACTGATGACAGCCTCAATACAGAGAAGCAATGAGGCTATGGGAGGGTAGAAGCTCTCTGGGGTTCTTTTTTAACTCCTGCTAATGATGATGAGGATGCCTGTGTGGGAGATAGTCTTATTTTCGGCAAAAGGCTTTATGTGTTCCCACAATCCACAAAATTTATTGAGATTTCTGGACTATAAGACTGGAGAACACAGAAACCCCTGCACTATACTCCTTCCTTTTTTCAAGTGGTAACTAGTGCTTCAATGTGTTCTTAGTTTTATATTTGATATTTAAATATTCCTTATGGAAGAGTCACTGTTCTTACCATGAATAAAGACTATGGAGTCATGAACATTTTGAATTGATTTATAATTATAGAAAGGCAAACGTGTCCAGGAGCCATCTTCACATTTCTTCATGAACTGGTCAAAGAGGAGTCTCATGTCCTTGCTCCAGCTGGGTTTGGGGAGAGAAGAGTCCTTATGAAAGTCTGCCTCAAGAAACAATGACCTCTAAAAGACAGAGAGAAGAAAAAGAAGAGTAATGAGAGGTGCAGCCTACGTCATAACATGTTCTCCTATTTTTTAAAGACTATTGTACTGCTTTTCCTCTTCCCAGAAGTTTGATTTTGGAGTGGAAACAAATTTCAAGGATTATCTGGTCCAACCTCCTTGGGAAAAACAGGAGACAGAGAGAGCGAAAGGATTTGCTCAGTGTCACCCAACTAGCTATTGGCAGAGCCAGCATTAAGCCCAGGTCTGTGGACTCCCTCTTTTTTCCCCCAAACCTTAATCAAGCACAGGTGAGCCGGGTACTGGAGGTAAAGAGATGATGGATAGACATTTTCCCCCATGCAAAAAGTGGGGTATGCTACTAGTGGGGTATGCACAGGAAGCAAGAGCACAGGGGAGAGGTATTCGTCTCACACTGGGGCTTGGGTTGGGTTCTCTGACTTGAATCTTGATTAGACAAGCAGAAATTAGGCAGTTAGAAAGAGCATTTTAGGCAAAGAAACAGTGTGCAGAAGCAAGGAGGCAGGAAATAGTTTTGAAAGCCATATTATAGCTCTATAAAATTAAATACTAATTATTTCCCCCATTTTACAGATGATGAAACTAAGGCCTGCAAGAAACCCAGTGTTGTTTTGGTGCAGAGGGAGGAACAGGTAGCTGCAGAGATGTAGGCAAGGGCCTGTGAGAAGCCTTCACACTAAGCTACCTGGTTTGAATTGTGTCTGCAGTACTCTCAAATTTTAGACAAGGAGAGACATGATCAGATCTGGCCATGATATGAAAGATAGTGGGAATGACCAAGATTGGATTGGAGGGCCATGTTCTGACTACTGGGATGGCCCAGGTAAAAAATTACAAGTGCACAAAACAGAACTAGATGACTATTTAAATAAAAAGAGTGAGGGAACAAGAAAAACACAAGAGCCAATCCCAGGTTTCTGAAATGTGCAACAGACTGGGTGACAGAACCAATTACTGAGAAAGAATATAAAGAGGAAGGGGAGGTCAGGGGTACAAGTGCTTAGTCATAGTAATAACAGCTTCCATTCATGCAATTTCTCTACGGACTGAGCACTGCTACCACTACCATGCCCAAGCAGCAAGGGGAATGGTGCAAGGGCTCTGAAGCAGCAGGGTGAAGGGAATGACCAAAGGCACCACAAAGGAAAATTGGTCCTTTTGAATTCTTCAGAAATGTTGGGATTTTAATGATCATAGAAGCTATCATCTTTGTAGTGTTCTACTTCCAGCCACCCTTAGCAATTCGTTCAGATTCAAGGTACCTACAACACTTGGAATGTACCCTGAAATAACATGGAGGCGTGCCTACTGTGATGGATTACCAGCTATCCAGACTTCTGTTGACCCTGGGGTGGCAATAATCCTGGTCCAATGGTAATTCTAGGGAGCCTGTCTCAAGAACTCTATGGACCTAGAAACTTCCTGGCTGAACAAAAGGGAGTCTTAACTTCGTGAGGGAAAATGTGAGCAGGGCAGAGAACAGGCCACTTCCTATAGCCCAGGAATTGTACCTTTGTTCCTTATGGTTTTGTATTGGTTCATCCCTTCAGAACTCAGCTCAGAAAGTTTGGAAGAGAAACAACAACAAAAACCCACACATTATCTTTCCATCTTAATGCACCAATAATAAAATTTTGATGTATTTCCTCCAAGTTTTTTTAAGCGTAAATTTTCTTACTTTTAATCTCTATATGAAATACAATTTTTCTTTCTGCTTCATCACTTAAAATTACTTAGTGTTCTCTTTTTTATGTTCTTCATCTCAATTATGACCATTTTCAACATTAGAAAAACAGTCCTTTAACTTATGTACTATAATTTATTTAATGATTTAGATGGACATTTAAGTTGTTTCCAATCTTTTGCTGCTTTAAATAAAAATGTTCATTAGAACATTTGAATATAATATAGCTTTTTCTCTATCTTGGATTATTTCCTTAGAGTCCAGTTTAATTTTTCAGCTTTTAAAGTACATGATTTCTGGAACAGACACAAAATAATAATGTATCAACCAATCCTTGTCAAATGAGAGGTAGGCTTTGAAGTTGTGGATCTGGGTCATCTCATCCATAGGTCCCATCTTAAATAGACAACTCTAGGATCGATAAGTTTTAGCATCATTTATGGACCACTGCAACAGAAATAACTTAAGACTTTTAGGAATTAGAATGACTCCCTTGACTGTGGACTCTCCTACCTGATTTTAACTTTGAAAGTCTGGTATTCAGTTAAATGTAACAAACTTTTTTTAGCTCTACTATGTGCTCTGGTTCTGTGCCAAGAACAGGTAACACAAAGAGAGAAGACTTATGCCCTGCCTTCAAGTGCCTGTAGGCTTGAGTGTGAAAAATGCTAAAACAGAAGTAGATATAGACACAGAGTGACTTTCAGGAAAAACTGCAAAATGAGGAGTGATTTCTAAAGGATACCATATTTTGCCATGTATAATGCACACTTTTTGCCCACATTTTTTGAGGGAAAAATAAGGGTGCACATTGTATAAGGCAGTACTAATTCTGTACCTATATATATGTTTTTAATTCTTTTATTTATGCTCATGTGTTAAAAGTAACTCTAGAAAGCAATAATGACATTTGTATGCAAAATAACACCCTAGATTACTATAATCAGTTTTGTTTCAAATATAAGTAAATTACAAATTGAATTAAAAAATTAAAACAAAAGTTTTTTTCCTGAAGGTTTGGGCCAAAAACATGAGCGTGCACTATACATGGGAGTGCATTATACACAGCAAAATATGGTAAAAAGTTCACTATGGAGAGAATGGGATGGTTGCTCCAGGCCAAGACATAGAAAGATGAAATAATCAAATGGCATATTGGGGAACTGCCAGGATTTCAGTTTCAGGAAGTAAGGAAGGTGCCAAGAGAACAGCAGCCAGATGTGGATGGCAAAGTAGAAGGAGCATCACACCGCAGAGGCTGTCTAGCCTTAGGGGCTTAGATTTCATTTTTCTAGGTCAATGTTTCCAAAAGTCAATTCAAAAGATGATTTTAGATAGCACAAGGGTGATATATATATTTTAAATGCATATTATAAAAGGACATAAGTAACACATCGCACTTGTGATTTCACAAATGTTATTGGTTAGGATGAAGCTAATTAAAGAAAGGGAGTTTTTAAAGGATCATGAAGGTGGGACTTGAGTGACAAATACTTTTCCCCCCCATTATGTGGAGACTTAAGGAGTTTTAAGCAAAGCAGTAACATTAACTTGTAACTACAGAACCAGCTCAAAATGATCCTATCATATTCACTGAGATACTGAATTGCTTCCCTGAGACAAAGACCAAAACTGCAAGTCATGCAACCAAAGCATGGACAGAGAAAACTATGACCTCCAGCTACACCTGGAACCAAAGTTTTGCTCCCCACCCTGCCACAGAGCCAAAGAACCATGATGTAACCAAAACTTGAACACTTGGAACCCTTTAGAAACAAAGGGTCTATTGTCCAGGAAGATCCAGTGTTGATGCCCCTTTATCATAAATGGCCAAGTTTGAAGGTCCTCCCGTTAAAGCTTGTCCCACCTGCATTTCTACATAGCTGTTCTCCTAACCCCTTAAAAACCCTTAACCTAGTCCAGTAAGAAAGATGGATCTGAGGCACTATTAGGGCTCTTATCTTCTTGGTTGGTGCCTTTGCAGTCAACAAGCCTTTCCTTACTCCAAACTCTACACTTGTAATTTTGGCCTTTCGAACTGTTGGGCACACGGGTTTGGTAGCAATTTGACGAGTCAGCCAGGAGCTGATGCCCATAGCAGGCCAGCCCAGTCCAGCTTGGGTTTCCTTCCTGAGCAGCTGCCAAAGCTGTTTTGCCTTGGGAGCTCAGGAGAGTCTATCACAGGCAGGCACTGGCTGCCTTAGGCACACAACTTGTTTAGAATAAGGAAATGTCTTTGGACTTCAGTCTACAGTTGTTTTTATTTCTGAGGCAGGTTGCTGAGGCAGGTTGTCTGGTGTGAGCAGTTAGGAATCCTTCCTCTCTATCTGGGCTTTCTCTCCCTTGGAACAAGGCCATCTGCATTTAGAATTTAGTAGGGGGCTTCTGTCTGAGGGTAGGATAAGGATTGTTGTACTCTTCCCATTTGTCTCTTTGTTTTCAGTAGACCATGTTAAGTTTGTTTGTTGTGCCTATATATCTGTGTCTGTATTTTGAAAATTTGAGTTTATAAATAAGAGAGTGGGAAATTCCAGTTCAGTTCCTTGGGAGAGCCCACTGAGATGCATCCTTTAGAACTGGACTGCCATTAGGACATGATTCAAAAGCAATGTGAGGTCATGGTGCAGCTGGAGGAACCTAAGAAGAGCCCAGTGCTGCAGAATCTAAGCAAAATAGTGAAAGAGAAGATGATGTGTTATTAACTCTGACTAACTCTCCCACTGCACCACCAACCACTACCTCCTTATGAGGGAATGGATGGTCTCTTGGCTGCCTGCCCAAACAGGGTGCGAACCCTAGCAGCTGAGCCTTAGTGGCCACTGAGACCAGTTTTTACCTAGGCTCAGCTGCTGGGAACCTCCTCCTGATAGAGTGCTCCAGGTTACCTTGGCACCATTTTTTTCTTCACTTTTAAGAGAAGAAACAGCCTCTGGTTACTGGAGAGTACTCAATTTATTGTCTTGTTTGTGTGTTATTTGTGTGTCAATCCTGTTTTGTGCATACTTTGTTTATTAGCTTGGAAGTAAGAAGGAAATGGCACCTGATACTTCTTACCCTCCCCCATCTTCTTTGTCTCCAGACACGTGGTGGTGGCAGCCACCATCTTGTGTTCACTCTCCCTCCCAGGGCCATCTTCCTCTAGGAAAATCTGCCACTTTAAATTCAGGTGTTCTGGAACTGTTACAGGGTGCAGCCAAGAGGGGGACCCCAAATAGGGATTTGGAATGGGGTCCCAAACTCAAGGTGTCCAGGAAATATTAAGATGTCCTCACCCCTTCCCCTTCAGGTGTGAGTT